AATATGACACACACACCATTAATTTATGGAAGTGCTAACAAAACTTTTTAAAACTACAACTACATACATATGTATATTAGAATTTGATGATAAATATTTAAGGTAATAAATATACTAAATTACTTGCTGAACTCTTTACATTCCAGTTCCATTGTCATGCTTGTTCATGACTTGATCACTTGATAGTTGCTAATTTATTTGTGATAATGTAAAGTATTGAGAGGAACTGAGGCATAAAATTATAAAAGGAAACAAAATGCACGATTAAGTTCGATAAATACGTTTGAATAAATCATTTTATCACGATTTATTACGAAATCTACAACTATGATAAGTCAAAGGTGGCAACTACTATTACTATGATGAGTCAAAGTTGGCAACAGCGTAACGAGATGTTACTCAAAGTGAAGATTTCACAAGCAGACTAATCACAACTGTGTTAATTGCATAAGTAAGCATTACAAAAGCAGAAGATTTTGAACAGAAAGTACTACATGAACTCATAAGTAAGTGTTGTCTGCTGTTCCACTTCTTCATCATAGTCATGCACCATTACTTTTACTATCACTTCTTAAGTACTTGCGAGATTTCACAATCAACAAGCAAAGACTGATTTATTAAAGGGCAAAGGAAAATTACACAAAAGTGCAAAGAGATTTATGTATGTATATGTTTCTATATAAAGCAACAAAAAGACACATTAAGCACGGCTGCCCCGAAGCTATAATACTCTACATAGATGCATTTTTTATAGCATAACAGGTCAATTGAAAAGTACCGGGCCTGTCACATAGATGACGCTGCTAGAATTAAATACAAATGATCTTCAGTTCAGCCGGCCTGAACAAACAGAAGAAAAAGAAGACAATGCACCGTGTCACAAGTCAGTGAAAACGATGGAAAACATCCATGCATTGGTCTTCAGTGACTATTCCTGTTCTCAGAGCTCAAAAGAAATACTCGCTTGGAAAAACATTTCGTCGGATGAAGAGGTGATTGCCAAAATTGAAACCTATAGTGAAGCACTAGGACAAATTGCACTACAAAAAAGGTATCGAAAAGTTGAAGGGTTGCTATGAGTGTTCAGGGTATAAAAATACATAGCAAAAATAACAAGATTTTTCATAACGAATTATGATTAACTGTATATTGACGTTTGCTGTCTTAATCGAGTGATTAAGCGCTATAAATTTTTTATTTTTTTCTTGAAAATAAATACATTAATACGTGCATTTTCGGCATACATTTATACATTAGGGTGGGCAAACAAAAATTTTTTCCGCTTTCTACTTTGAAAAGACACTTGATAGACTTTCTCTAAAAAATAAGTTGATAGTCACCAGTAAGAAATGAGCTCCAACTCTGAGTTCTTAATTGTAACAGAAATGCGCTCCCCTAACAGTTTTATATATTTTTTTTTATTATCAGAAATGTTTTTATTCCGCTTCCATTTTGGAGGAAGGACCATGAGGCGGAAGACCCTTCCCTTACCATTAAGAGCTTATACTTTCAGAGCCTTTCTTAGAGACTACCATCAACCAATTTTTCAGACTACCAAGCGAAAAAAAAGCATTCGTCTTTTAGTTTTTACCCACCCTAACATGCATATTATTATATATTTCTCTGTCTGCGTAGATTCATAAACTGATATTGACGTTGCCATGAAAAATGTCGAGGAAGCAAAAGTGACACAACAAGTGCAATGCCCAGCTGTAAGAGTTATGCACACGCAGACCGATTGCATATATTGAGCATACAAACAAACATATATTATATAAATGTTATAAGAGCACCCGCCGTGAAATGTGCATAAATCGGTTTGTATTTATGTAATTATGGAAAGCAAACGCGCGTGTACGCTATCAAATTACCGT